TTTTTTATCTCATCTCTAATCACCATGTTCTCTCCTAGCCTTTCCTCAAACCTGTTAGGCATAGTCCCACCCCAGGGCCTTTGCATATGCTCATTTTGTTCTGTCTACGTATCTCTTTCCATAGATATCAACTTGGCTTCTTCATCCCCTTTTTGGGGGGTCTTTATTTAACTATTACTTCAGCTGGCTGGTTAGCTCAGTTGGTTAGAGCACAGCCTTATTACACCAAGGTCAGGGGTTCAGTTGCCTGTACTGAACAGCTAAAAATAATAAATCACTTTAACAATGAGGCTGACCATCCAATATAAAATAGCAAAATCATCCTTCCTCCTATCTTGCTTTATTTTTCTCCCTAGCACTTACAACCACCTGGCACATGGTATATTTACTTGTTTATTTCCCTTCTAGAATGTAAGTTACATATGGACAGAGATTTTCATATGTTCAGTTCCCTGCTGTATCCTGCCCCATAATAGTCCCAGGTACATTTGGTGTTCATTAAATACATGCTGAATGAATGGCCTTCAAAACTGTCTTTTATTTTTTTATTTTTTTATTTTTTTTGTCTTTTTTCGTGACTGGCAACGGATTGCAACCCTCAGTGTCGCGCCCATACCGGACCAGGACCGGCAACAGGATCGCAACCCTCGGTGCTGTGCCCGCACCTCGCTCAGCCAGTGAGCGGCCGGTCTGCATGTGGGATCCCAACCCTCGGCGGGAGCGCCGCCATGCTCCCAAGCGGCGCACTGTAGCAGTGCGCCACTGGACCGGCCCCCAAAACTGTCTTTTAAAAAAGAAACAAAAAGCTCAAAACTGTCTTTTATATAAGCAAGTAACTTTAGTAGTAAAAAGAGGGCAGCACCAGAGTAGTTTTGCTAGGGTATTTATTGCCTTCAGTCGAAGAAAAGCTCTTACCCTGATTGATCAAGGGATGAATGCTACCATAAGCTGAAACATATCTAGACACAGTCCTGTCCTTTTAAATTGGCAGAGTTTCATGAAATGTTATGGCTAGTTTTAAAGTGAGCAGACAGAGATAGAATTAGAGATACAGAAAGACTGAAAAGTATCTGATTCCCACCCGCTTCACCCCAACCCCTCCTCCGTGATGTACGCCTTGTGTGTATGAGGGTGGATTTAATGAATTTATCATTTTGTTATTAAAAAGTGGATTTAATGCTACTCTACTTTCTCCAAAGACACAGTAGCTCTCCTAGTAATAAAGTTTTAGAAGATCATGCTTTTGATAACCATGGTTGGAGGAGCAGCAGCATGACTGGGCATTGAACTACATTTCCCAGAGTGCATCCCTAGGAAGATTCTGGGAGGTGTGGCAGAAGTAGGCTTTTGACTACCGTAGCTGACTTTGGAAGGTTTAGCAGCAGGGACGAGGTTAAACTACATTTCCCAGAATGCATGCTTAGGAAGATTCTGGGAGGTGTGGCAGAAGCAGCAATGGTCCCTCCGGGAAGGGGAAGCTGTTGGAATTTGAACATTTGAAGTTTCCTGGTTTTTGCTGATTCCTGAGGCTTAGGAAGACTCCCCCAGAAGAATTCAGAGTGAGTACAGCGACACAGAAACCTGTTCAGGTTCTAAGTGCGGGAAAGATTTTATAGGGAGGCATAATTTGAACTTGCAAAAAGCTCTTGGTTACAGCATTTTACATTTTTAGCTTAGTCTCTCTTCTTTCTTGCAGAATCCAGGGGAATGACCACAGTTTTACACCAAAACTTGTGGAGCTATCTCTTTAACTACAACTAATCATTTTCTGATACTTTTTTGGAGACATTTAAAAATGAAATTTGCTAACTTCTCACAACGTGCCTTAATTTTTGAATTAAGGAGGAAAAATTATTTTTTAGAAAGCAAACCGTAAATCTGGTCAGTGAGACCTTGAAATTTGTATCCCAGTCGTTCCTCAGTTTTGCATATTTCCCCATCCCATTGAGGTCTACAGTCAGTGACTCTCTCAAAGGGGCTCTCAGACACTACTGAAACCAGCCTCTTCTTGGTGGAAGTAACTCTGAGATTCAAGACGGACTTTTCTTTCTTCTTTTTTTTTTGACAGCTGGCTGCTCCTTAACTGTGGTGTTATCAGCACCACGCTCTCCCAAGTGAGTTGTCCGGCCAGCCAACCCATGATGAGCTTTTTTTTGTCATACCATAGTGCTTTATAAACTGACCCTTCTTCTGGAAAGATGAACAGGATGAGAAACGTGTGTGAGTAACAGAGGATTCAGAGAAATTATTAATCTTAAGGACCTTGCCTCATCATTGAATAGTTTTCAATAAAAACAATATTGCCTTTCATCTCTATTAGACTTTGTACTTTAAAAACATAAATAATAGCTCTGTGACCACCGACCCCTGAGTCAGCAGGCCATGATAATCCACAGTGCGCTAAGGTTACTTTAGTAGCAGAAACTAGGCAAAATAGTAGGTAGTCAAGTACTGTGAGCCACACACATGAGTCAGTAGTCACAACTACAACCAAACTGTCCTTGCAGTTCCCAGGATCCAAGAAACTCACCAAAGGAATTCCCTTTGGCTCACAGGTAACATGGTGTTTCTGGGAACAGTGGCCTGGAAATAGCCTCACTGAGCAGTTAGGCCCAGGAACTACTATTTTATTATACTCGTACTTTCTTTTATCTTAAAAGGAATGTGTATACATGGTTAAAAAAATTTTTTTAAGTGCAGAAATGAATAAAGTAAAAATTACAAATACCCTTTTCAATCCTTATCTCTATTCCACTCTCCCAGATCGGTCACTGTTAACAGTTTGGTATGTGTACTTCTAGTCATTTAAAATATGTAAGTAAGTACGTGTGTAATTTGTGTATATTGGTATCTATGGGTATATGTCCTTTTATTTATAGATTTAATTAGATCATGCTAACCAACCAAATATTACTTGATTTTCTTTTTTTCTCTAGCTTTATTAAGGTATAATTGACAAATAAAAATTGTGTATATTTATGATGTACAACATATATACACTGTGAAATGATTAAATCAAGCTAATTTACATATTCATAACCTCGAATACTTATGATTTTTTGTAGTGAGAACATTTGAGATCTATTAGTAGTTTTCAGGTGTACAGTATTATTAGCTATAGTCACCACGCCGTACGTAAGATCTCCAGAACTAACTCCTCTTGTCTAACTGAAACTTTACACTTTTGACCAACATCTCCCTATTTCCCCTCCTTGCTTTTCTTAATAATATATTCTAAATATCTTTCCCTGTTACTACACATATATTTTTTAACTGATATATTAGTTTCTCTTTCTTTTTAACAGCTGTGTGTTTTTTCATAATTTTCAGTTAACATTCTTGTACATATCCTTTGCTTCCTAAGATAAATTCCTAGAAGTAGAATTGCTAGGTGAAAGGGATGTTTATTTAACATTTTAATAGATATTCCCAAATTAACCTCCAAAAATATTGTACCAATGTACATTCCCAGAGTTGTATATGAGTCAGAAATATTGACTTTAAATACATTTCTTCCAGTGTATCACACAAATCCTTATTATCAGAATAGTGATTATACCTTTAATACTCTCCTAGAGTGGTTTGCAACCCACATATCACATACTGCCTTCTTAAAAAGTTAGGTACATACTTGTTCTCTCTCCTGCTGTAGTTCCTTGAAGGCAGGGATTTCATTCTGTACATTTTTGTGTTCCTTAAGGAAGTTTGCATAAAGTTAGTACTCAATAAATATTTTGTTGAATGTCATATGCTAAATATATTTTACCTTTGGCTAGGACATAGATGGTTGCTAAAACTGTCCAAAGATTAGTCATCAGTGATTCATAATTATGCAACTGAGAAATAGGCTTACATTTTAGATGTCCCTCAGTAGTTTAGTGTCAAAGCTTGCTTCCCTTGGGCACAGCTAAAAGGGTGGTTGGTTATTTAACTGTACTGATTTTCTCATTTTTTCAGTGGAATTTCCTTACTTTTTTACTGCTAATTTGAAAAATACTTTTCATAGGGAAGAAAATACTTACTGATACACATTTTAAAAGGGATCAACTTCTGCAGAATGTAATTTTCAGATACAGATTTTTTTCCTCTCCCAGTGAGCTATAAATAATAGAAAATATCTTGGATCCATGTGAATTTGCATAGCTGCCTTTTGAAATATTTTCCTAATGGCCATGATTTTATATTTTTCTTATCTACAGGATTCTTTCTACTTTATTCTCAGAAGAATGTTGGTTTTTATGTATTCTGAGAAACTTAGCTCCTTTACTCTAGAGATATCCCAGGCTTGTTACTTGGTTTATTAGTTAGGATAATGCTAGCTGCTATAACAAATAAACTTCAAAATTTCAGTGGTTTGATATGGTAGAAGTTTATTTCTCACTCACAAATAATCCAATGCAGGGGGTCTTTGGTTGGTGGTTGGCTTTTCTCCATGCAGTGATTCAAGGATCCAGGCTTCTCCATCCAATGGCTCTACCTTTCCCCTGGGAGTCTTCTAAGCAGAGGGGGAAAAAAAGCGGATGGAGAAGGCATACCCACTTCTTAATTGCCCCAGCCTAGAAAAGACACATGTCACTTCCACTCACATTCCATTGTTAAGACCTACTCTTAGCCCTACATAGATACAACGAAGGAGAAAGATGTAGGTTTTGGCTTGGACCCATCTCCCAGCAATAAGTCCACAACAGGAAAGAAAGAGCAAACCTTTCTTGTGGATAGTTGGCTGATTTTCACAACAACCTATAAGACAGGCAGAACAGAATTCAATTTTGTAGGTCAGGAAAGAAGTTCTGAAAAGTTGAGATCCCATACCTAGTTAGGTAGAAATGCAATTTAGAAGCCAGATCACCTGACTCCTATGTAGTTTCTATTTCCTTAATATTACTAGGTGATCCTATCCTGGCTTAAAATATAACCTTCCTGGTGATTCATTACTTTAAATTGCATACTATGACTTTTTTTTTTTTTAAATAACTCCTCTTTTCTCTAAGGACCTGGCAATGTTCCTGCATTGTGGAATAGCTTGCAGGAGAAAATCTTTTTGGTGCTATAGGCTGCTATCAACCTATGTCTCTAAGACACGGTGAGTTTTGACCAACCTGAGCTCTGATTATTCCATCTTTGGCCCAAAATCCCATATTGAGGATTAAAGATATGTGATAAAGATTTACCCATAAGGATGTTCATTGCAAATTATTTATAATTGGAAACACTTTAGAAAAGCTAAATTTCCAATAATATCTAAAATGTCTCACATACTTGAATATAGGTTCTATAAAATAAGACTTTGTCTTTTCCACTGTGGTACCCCTCATGCAAAAAACAGTGCCCGGCATACAGTAGGCAATGAAGTATTGTTGAATGAATGAACAGTAAGGGAGAAATTAAGTAAATTAATGTATACCCATGTGATGGAATAATAAACACATTAAAAATGGTATTAAATAATATTTCATGACATTTCCCCAGAATAAGGTAGATAACTCCAACCTTCCTCTCCGCACCCCCATCCCTCCCAAAGAACTAAATGTCAATGAAAGGTAGGCTAGGAAAAAAATCTACAACAGCACAGGAAGATGATAAAGGACTTCTTTGTCTCAGCCTGGAGAAATCTGAAATCTGTGAATTTGAAATCACTAGCCTGCACCCATACAGTTTTGGGGTTTAAATTTATACCATCTGTGTGGTGTGGTCTAAGAATCCCCTACCTAAGAAATGAATTTAAGTAGTGATCCTAGACTGATAACTTGCTTGGGACCCCTTGCAAATGTAAAACACAAACACAAATGTAAAAATCCTCAGAAGGCATACACTCGCAACCAGGTCTTCCCACATAGAAAGCCCTGCCAAATATGAGTGCCCAGTCCAAGATTTAGAGGCACATAAGCATATAATCCTACGTAAGCAAGAGTGAACAAAAGAACAAAATTGCAATACTTGTTTTAGATATTGTTGGACAGTTAGGTTGCTTGCACTTCTCTGAGACTCCAAGAATAACAGAATTATTGAGTAGATGTCTAAAATAGAAGTATGTTAACATACTTCTTTAGTGATTAAATATATTTTAAAATGAATCACAGTCATGAGAAAAGTTTTAGCTATCAATAAAGAACATTTTATAATGTGAAAGAATGTTTAGATATATTTAAGAAAAAAAGGGCTATAAATGAGGTGTGATTAATTCTAAATATACCCATATATGTATTGATACATAATATTAATAATTTGGAGAATTCCAAGCCATAAATAATCATCTCTGAGTGGTGAGATTGCTGATGATTTCCCTTTTTGCAAAATTGATAATTATTTTTTTAATTTTTTAAAGAATAACTGTTTTTTACTGTTATAATAAGAAAAAACAAAGTTTAAAAATAATCCAAATGTTTTTAGCCTTGATAATCTTAGTGTAGTGGTTTCTATGCTATTGTAACTAAAGGGAGAAAATGAATTTTTAAAAGAAACGTTTGGATCGTAATTCCAGTGTTACCGAGGTCCTGGATTTAAGACCTTAACCTGGATGTTTTTGTAGGTGTTTTCCTTTTTAGGGTCATTAGGGCAAAGCACAGGTTGTACCATTTCTTTTACGAAGGTTGTACTGTTCTTTTACAAAGGCAGCAGTGTTTGTTCTATTGTTTATATTTGGTAACTTCTGAGTGGCGCATGTCTCTCCTTTGACATACATTGAGTCTTTGCCCCAGGGGGCTGCAGTCACTCACGATAAGTTTATAAATATCTTGAGTCTTAAAAGATCAGGTTTCTTTTGTCTTCTATTTATAAAGAGCTCATCATAATCTCTTTTATCACACAGTCAAAATAGGTTCCTAAACATGTCACTGGGGTGCATTTGTCATTTGGCTCTGTTTTTTCATGTTGAGCCATCTCTGCCTACCAGTGTTACAAAAGTTCCCAGATCCTACAGAAAATATCTGTTGACTGTGTTTCCCACTTACTTGACAAAATATGTTATATGCCTGAGAATCTGTTTTAGGGCTTTTGACAGGCAAAAATGGTTAACCCTGAGGCTCTAGGAGAATCCACATTCAGTCCTTGCTAAATCAGGAGGACACTGATTTGATTCCCAAGGCTCTTGAAGGGATGGACTAAGACGACCCTTAATGATGATACTGGAAAAATCTAGAACTTGCACTATTATTATCTCTCTTTTTTAGAAACCCATAATAGGATGTTCTCTTTTTCCACATTTTTTATTTTGGCTACTGAAAATATCCTTATTAAATAGATCAAGTGTTGGCTTCATCAGGGGTCCCTTCAATAGAGATAAAGAACTAATGGTATCTCTTTTGGGGGCTGGATGTTTGAGACAAGGGTGCATTGAAGGCAAAGGTTGTTCTGTATCTTCCCCAGATCCAATGAGTTACTGAAGGCACGCTTTTGCTCGTGGTCTGCAGTCACAACATCTGGTCCAGTCTCTAGGCGTTCTGTGGTTGATGTTTTATCACTGTACTTGTTTTCCCTTCACTCTCCTGCATGTAAATTCTTGCCTCACAGTGTAATATTGGCAAAGTACCTTGAAGTTCAATTCAGTAAATATTTATTACCCTTGAAGTTCAATTCAATAAATATTTATTGAATGGAGTCATTCGATATGCTAATTACTGAGATAAAGAGCTGAGTAAGGCAGACCCTGCTCTTAAGGACATCACAGTCTTTCAGGGGAGACAGGCAAATGAACAAATCCTACAACAGTGCAACCACAGGAGTATGGACAAGCACACAGTAGGACAAAGCAGGGAATGAGGGATTGCCCTTAGCCACCTCAAATCCTTTTTGGAGCAAATTAGGATGTAAATAAATAAAGGAAAATAACCGTGGTGTGAGAAGGGTGTAGGAGCAGATTCTCAAAGATGAATGCTGTATAATAAACTAGGTGTGTTTTAAAATGGTTTGATCTCTTCCCAAATACAGGTATTTATTTGAATTGAAGGAAGATGATGATGTGTGTAGAAAAGCCCAGCAGACAGGAGCGTTTTACCTCTTTCATAACCTGGCTCCTTTGCTTCAGACGTCGGAACGTCAATATCTGCCCCCCCGGCTTAGCCTATCACGTAAGTGCATGAGTGAGTTGGGAAAAGCAAAACTGAGTGAGTGGGAAAACACACGCACTGTGTTTCCCCTGCTCTCACACAGCACAATCATCCACACACAAGACCGACTTCTGTGAGCAGATGTGTGGGAATTTCTCTCCACTGGCAAGCCAGCCAGCAGTTCTTCAGTGGACACCAACGGGGTGTCCTCCAATTCAATTCTGACACTGTCTACCTGGAGATAGCATCAGATTGCACAGGATGAGGGCTCAGTCCCCAAGACTGGCCCCCACTTTAGATGCCAATTGCAAGCCCAGGCCTCTAGAATTTCTTACCAGCCAGCTATAAATCAGGGTTCCCACAACCCTCCTTGGGTTCAATTAGTTTGCTTGAGCATCTCACAGAACCCAGGGAAACATGTATTTATTTTTACCAGTTTATTACAAAGGATATTACAAAGGATACAGATGAAGGGACGCACAGGATGAGGTAGCGGGAAGGAGCACGGAGCTTCCATGCCTCCTGGGAGCACCGCTCTCCAGGAACCTTCACGTGTTCAGTTATCCAGAAGCTCCCCAAACCCTGTGCTCTTGAGTTTTTATGGAACCTTCATCATGTAGGCATAACTGAAGCATGGACGACCACGTAGAGATGTGATTAGACAAAAAGGGTCTGATCTAATACTAACAGACTGGATAGGGAAACCCAGCGAGGCCTGTTTGTTCAGATTCTCCTCAGCCTCTCTGTGCAGAATCCCTTCCTCCTGGGCACAGGGCAGGGCCCCTCCTGAAATGGGGGTCTTGTGACCTACAGTCAGCTAAGACAGAATTTCCTGCCTCTGGGAGAAAAAGGCGCTGGTGAAAGGAGGGCAGGAGAAGGTCAGAGAGTAGCACGAGCCAGAAACCGTGGATGAAAACCAGGAAATAAATACCGTGTCACAGTGAGCCCAAAGTGAACTGGTGGAGTAGACCACTAAGCAGAATTCAGTGGCCACTAAGCAGAATTCAGTCCGTATTGAATCTGTGAGAAAGATTCTTGAACTTTCGAGTCCAGATTTTTTGAACTTCTGAGTCTCAAACTTGTGTAACTGCTTTTGCCAATTAATAATTCACTGTATGAACCTTAGTTGTCCATCAAATATTATTTGGTGATGATGTGAACCACTAATGCCTTAAACCAGGGGTCAGTAAAACTGCTGTCCAAATTGGAGCACCACCTATTTTGTAAGTAAATTCTTACTGGAACACAGCCATGCTTGTTCATTTATACATTGTCTATGACTGCTTTTTCACTACCGTGGCAGAGCTGAATAGTTATGACAGAGACTGCCTGATTCACAAAGCCTAAAATATTTAGAATTTCTTTACAGAAAAAGTTTGCCAACCTCTGCCTTAGACCAGTGATTTGCAGCCTCCATGGAGCTGTGCACTGGTTCATTTTAAACATGTGCATCATAACTTTATTTTTACTAGAAGGGTCAAAATTAAAAGTGAACTAAAATGAATTTGTTTTGAGAACTCTTTTGGCATATGCTCGTATAACTAGAGATATTTAAGCCATTGGGATTTGGCATTCAAAATAACTAACTTTGTTTTTGTTTTGACGGCTGGCCAGTACAGAGATCTGAACCCTTGACCCTGGTGTTACAACACTGCGTTCTAACCAACTGAGCAAACTGGCCAACCCCTACCTTTCAGTTTTATTTGATGTCACTATATGCTGACTAACAAATACGTTGCTGGTGAATTTCCCCTGCGGGTCAGATGTTGGAGTACTCGGATAGGTAGTTCCCAGCAGTCCAGAAGAATAGGAGGACTCCATCAGAAGACACTAAATGTCATTTGGAGATTTAGCAATGTTATGTTGTATTGTGAACAAATATGAACCCGTCATACCCAGGAGAACAGATTTTCTCTCTACAGAGCACTTAATCTTTTACAGACAGGATGTCAGATGAATATTCTACTCTGGCCCAGAAAAGCAACACAGTCTAGAGGCTAACTGCAGAGCTGGATTGATCTCTACCATTTTAAGTGTGGTATTTATTTTTGTCAGTGCTTTAAAAAGTTAACTATCATGCATCTTGCAAACTAGGGGATATGTTCATGTCAAGACACAATCTCGGAGTAATACAGTGTTACACAGATAGAATTCCTTCTTTGGTCTAAACTCCTCAGATTGCTGATGAAGAAACTGAGGCCTAGAGATGTGAAGTGATTAAACCAAGGTTACAAAGCTAATTATCTGCCAGGCAGCGACTGGAAGCCAAGTATACCTTCTTCAAGCTGAAGTAGATGATTTCCTATAAGTCTAATATGACCGTAGTGATTTAATTGAAACCCTTGTTTTGTGTTTTTTTCTTGTTTCCTTTCTGTTTCTTAGAGTTGGAAAGACTTCTGGGCAAGTTTGGACAGGACACACAAAGAATAGAGGATTCTGTGCTGATTGGATGCTCTGAACAGCATGAAGCATGGTTTGCTCTGGATCTGGGTCTGAATAGTTCCTCTTCTATAAGTGGTATGTAACATTATTCCTAATGTGCACTTCCCAGTGGTTCTCAGACTTTGGGATTTCACATATAGTAAAATTTCAAAGAAGATTTTGGGAATACAAAAAGGTTACCAACTTTCTATTTTTTTTATGTAGGACAAAAAATACTATCATCCATCATCATTGTTTAAAAGAAAATAAAGGACATTTAAATGCTTTCTTTCTAAGCTAGAGGGGAGGTACACAGAAGTTTATTGTATGACTCTGTGGACCTTTAGACACTTTACATGTCTTAAATATTTCATAAGAAATGTTTTGAAATTCATGACATCATTCTTATTTCTCTTATTTATGCAGGCAAATAAAAATGTTACTAGGGAGGAGCTCTGGATCCTCAGACCTGCATTTGGGGACCACTTTGCTATAGGCTTATGGCTTCTGTCAGGCTCCCCTCCTCTCTTTAATGGTCTGGGTGTGAATGTAATGATTCTGGAATGAGGTTCAGATAGAAGGTTAGAGGTCGCATTTCATCTATTTTCCAGGGATAGTGTGTGGCTAATGCAAATGTTCTTACTGGGTTCTGTGAGATGCTCAAGCTAACTAATTGAACCCAAGGAGGGTTGTGGGAACCCTGATTCATAGCTGGTTGGTCAGAAATTCTAGAGGCCTGGGCTTGCAACTGGCATCTAAAGTGGGGGCGAGTCTTGGGGACTGAGCCTTCATCCTGTGCAATCTGATGCTATCTCCAGGTAGATAGTGTCAGAATTGAATTGGAGGAAACCCCATTGGTGTCTTGAGAAATACTATGCTCTGTTTCCCAAAGTGGCCTGAATATTAGAATCACCTGGTGCTTGTTTAAAAAATAAAGATTTCTGGGCCTCACTCCACACCTGCTGCTTCAGAATCTCCAGGAATTGGCTTGAGAACCTGTATATTTTTTACTTTCCTCAGTTGAGACTTATTAGGAAAGTTTGGGAAACACTGCTCTGTTAGAACAGTATAGCTGGAGAGGGACCCTGAAGCAAAGTTTGACATTTGTTTACTTTCTCTTTCTTTTCTAATTTTCTAGCCTCCTTACAGAAAACTGAAATGGAAACAGAGCTCAAGGGGTCTTTCATTGAACTTAGGAAGGCTGTCTTTCAACTGAATGAGAAGGATACCTCCTTGCTGTTCACGGTAGATTCTGATTTCTCAGTCCTGTAGGAAATTTAGCAAAGTAGTATGTATGGGCCAATCTATGTGTGCATACACAAGGCAAGAGTGACATTTGATTTCTTCTTTTGCAGATCATGGTTCTACCTACAAACCTTGGTAGAAGGACAATGTGCTCTAGGAAGACTGTTTATGTTTCTTTTTTTTTGCTATGGTTTTTGGCAGAACCGCTGTCAAAACCATTTTCTCCTAAGGACATGCAGATCTATGGCAATAGGATCTGTCAGCCTTATAAACGTTTTTAATGACCCACAGCATGACTGACTTATCATCATGTTTTTCTTATGAGAAATTATTTTACATTGCTTTAACGATTCGTTATCCTTACAGCTTTAGATTTCACTTGCTAAAGTGTTTTGATTGCCTGTTTAATTTAAAAAGAAACCTCGAAACATTTTTTAGTTGCAAAAAATTCCAACTTTGAGAGGAGTATATGTGCGGGGGGGGGGGGGTTCAATTATATTGAAAATGTTTTCTTTTTTTTTTTCTTTTTTGTCTTTTTTACTGACCGGCAACGGGATCGCAACCCTCGGTGTCGCGCCCGCACCGCGCTCAGCCAGTGAGCGGGAACCGGTCTCCACATGGGATCCGAACCCTCGGCGGGAGCACCACTGCACTCTCAAGCGGCGCACTCTCCAGTGCGCCACAGGGCCAGCCCAAAATGTTTTCTTTTTAAGCTGGGTAGTGAGTACATGGGTATTCATTATGTTACTTTATATATTTTGCATATTTTAAATAATTCCTAATACATTTTAAAATGTACTTTCTTTTTTTTCAGATTCCTTTTTTTTTTTCTGGTAGCTGGTATGTACAGGAATCAAACTCTGGACCTTGGTGTTATCTGTACCATGCTCTAACCAACCGAGCTAACTTGCCAGCCCCCCCCCTTTTTTAAAATCTTTTCTAGATTTCTGATGCTAGATATGTTCAGATAGTCTCCTTACCTTAAAGTTTAAACACTTAGTAACCATTTAAAGCAGGCGAGCTGTAAAAGGATCTGCATTTCCCTGTGAGTCGCTCTCTATTCCAGGCCCAGATCTGTTATATATGAGCCCACCTTCGCTCTGAATGAGACCAGGCCCATCTTTGTATTCCTAGGCTCGGGCTCTTCTCCGTTGGCATGATACTCATCAGTTCTGCAGCAGAAGCGGGCAGCCCACCAAGAAGAACATGGCTGGCAGCAAGCGTGTGTGCCCTTTTAATAAGATCATCTATTATCCACAGGTAAGCATTGCTTAAAGAGGACAGTAATCCAAGAAGGCTGTGTACTACTCTTTGCTGGGGAAGCAAGCCTGTACAGTACAAAGGCTTTTTAAAATTACCCATTCCTTTAGCTTATTAGCAGCCCCCAAAGCCCCATTGTCCCAGTTTCCATCCTCTTTCTTAGGTGGCTCCTGTGGTGATTACTCTGGTGTCAGATGGGACCCGATGCCTGCTTGTCCGCCAGAGCTCCTTTCCCAAAGGAATGTATTCTGCCTTGGCAGGTTTTTGTGATATAGGTAAGGTTATGGGATGTACAAGTAACATTGGAGGCCATAAAACCTTATTAACAGTATGTATTTCTCTGTCTTGTTGCTTGGAATCTTGAACACATTCTTCCCTGTCATGTCAAGGAAACTGCCTCTGGCATTATAAATTTTCAATATTTTATTAGGGAAATTTTCAAACACAGTGTAGTTAAAAGAACTATATAGTAAACACCCATACACCCACCACCTAGATTCTATAATTTTTTACTACATTTATTCGATCACATATCTGTTTATCCATTTGTCTATCCGTTCATTAATCCATCTTATTTTTTAATATGTAGGTTGAGAAAATTAGTACATTTCTCCCTAAATGTTTCAGCACATGTAATATTAACGAGATTCAAAACTTTATTTATAGGTTGTTTTTTTTTTTTTTTTTTCAGTCTACTGGGGTAAAATTTGTAAATGGTGAGAAGTGGCATTTTATTAAAGCTGAGGGCAGCAGTAGCCTCTGCCACTGCCATCCTTACTTTGCATTATAACTGAACTAGTAGCTTAAGCACTGCAGTTCCACACCCAACTGCAGACCTGATTTCTATTGTTGGGAAGACAACGAGACTGAGGACACTCCCAAGAGTATTCATTGAAACTTTGGAGCCAGTTGTACGCTCCTTTCACAAATGGGCTATCTGTATCACCCCTCCTGCTACAGGGCTGTCCTGAATTAATCTGAGTGCTTGTAGGTGAAAGTCTGGAAGAGGCTGTCCGGCGGGAAGTTGCAGAAGAGGTGGGATTGGAGGTGGACAAACTTCAGTACTCTGCGTCCCAGCACTGGCCCTTTCCTAATAGCTCACTCATGATTGCTTGTCATGCAACTGTGAAACCAGGGCAGACAGAGGTAAGTTCTCATGTTTTTCTTATGCTGTGATATTTCCTTTGCTTCATCTCGTCTGCTGGTTAGCAAGGATGAGGGTATTTCAAAAAGTTCGTGGAAAAATAGAACTAAAAGATAATATGAATCTTTCCATGAACTTTTTGAAGTATCATCATACTTATTAAGTAATTGTCTAAGTCCAGCATTGTCTAGATTACATAGATGTATAAGATATGATTTATACCCTCAAGGGATTTGCAATCTAGTAAAGGACACAAATAATCACCATTCTCCTTTGCATATATCTCAATGACGAGACAATTTTTAAAAATGCTTTATTGAGGGCCAGCCCGTGGCTCACTTGGGAGAGTGTGGTGCTGATAACACCAAGGCCACGGGTTCAGATCCTATATAGGGATGGCCGGTTTAGCTCACTGGCTGAGTGTGGTGCAGACAACACCAAGCCAAGGGGTGAGATCCCCTTACCAGTCATCTTTAAAAAAAATAAATAAATAAAAATGCTTTATTGAGGTATGCTAACATACAAAAAGCTGTAGATATTTAATGTATACAGTTTGATGTGTTAAGAAATAAGTATACATCTGAGAAACCATCATCACTATCAATGCCTTAAGCTTGTCCATCACCTCCAAAAGTTTCCTTCTGCCCCCTTTCTTTTAATTTTCTTCCTTTTGTGGTAAGAGCACTTAACATAACATAAAATCTATCCTCTTAGCAATTTTTTATGTATACAGTACAGTATTGTTAATTAGAGGCCCTATAATATACAGCAGATCTCCAGAATTTATTTTGCATAACTAAAACTTTTTAACCTTCGACCAATACATCCCTATCTCCCCTTCCCTCCAGCCCATGGGACAACCATTCTACTCTCTACTTCTATGTGTTGACTTTTTTTTTTTTTTTTCTTTTTTTAGTGGCTGGTGGTATGAGGATCTGAACCCTTAACCTTGGTGTTCTAACACGATACTCTTAGCATTTAGATTCCACTTTTGAGATCATGTGGTATTTGTCTTTCTGATCTGGGTTATTTCACTTGGCTTGTCCTCTCGGGCCAGCCATCTTGTTACCAGTACAGGATTTCCTTCTTTTTAAAGGGCGAATAATATTCTATTGTATGTATATACCATATTTTCTTTATCTATTTGTCTATTAGCGTACATTTAGGTTGTTTCCATATTTTGGCTATTGTGAATAATGCTGCAGTGAACATGGAAGTGCAGATATCTCTTTGAGATACAAATTTCAGTTCCTTGTGATGTATACCCAGAAGTGGAATTGCTGGATCAAATGGTAATTCTATCTTTAATTTTTTGAGGAACCTCCATATTGTTTTTCATAGTGGCTGCACCAATTTACGTTTCTCCCAACAGGGTGTAGGGGTTTCTTTGGCTCAGCATGCTTGCCATCACTTGCTGTCCTTTGTTGTTGTTGTTTTTAATAATAGCTGTCCTGGCAGGTGTGAGAGGATATCTCACTGTGGTTTTGATTTGCATTTCCCTGATGATTAGTGATGTTGAGCACCTTTTCATAAACCTGTTGGTCATGTCTTCTTTGGAGAAATGTCTATACAGATCCTTTGCCCATTTTTTAATTGGGTTGTTTTCTGGTATTGAGCTGTAGGAGTTTCCTATATATTTTAGATATTAACCCCTTGTCAGGTATATAGTCTGCAAATGTTTTCTCTCATTTCCATTGGTTGCCTTTTCATTTTGTTAATTGTTTTCTTTGCTGTACAAAAGCTTTTTAGTTTGATATAATCCCACTTGTCTATTTTTGCCTTTGTTGCCTGTGTTTTTGGTGTCATGTCTAAGAAATCGTTGTCCAGTCCAGTGTCTAGAAGATTATTCCTTATGTTTTCTTCTAAGAGTTTTATTGCTTCAGGTTTTAGATTTGAGTCTTTAGTCCATTTTGAGGTTTTTTGTTTTGTTTTGTTTTGTTTTGTTTTGTTTATATGGTATGAGATAAAAGTCCAATTTCATTCTTTTGCACATGGATATGAAATTTTTCCAATACCATTTATGTGAGACAATTTACATTTCATTGTCAGGTCATAAGAGAATCTTACAGGCATACAATAAATATATCAAATTTAATGATTTATTTCAGGATTGGTCTTATTGCTCAAGTTAGTCAGGATGTTGGGGTCTAATGATATAAAATTATAGGAACTTCTGGTTGAAAGGGACTTAGACGTTGTCTTATCCAGCTTCATCTTGCTCTTGTACAGCAACCCTGACAGATGGCATTGTGATCCTTGCCTACCAAAGTCTGCTTATTGTGTGCTTTGATTTTTATAGATATCTAACCTGACTCAACTTCCTGTGGACAAAGGATGCGTTACTTTGCTTCTTGCAAAGAAGATACTGTGCTTTTGATTATCATTAACTCTTAAAGAGTATCATTTATATGTTCTTTTTTATTTTTTATTTATTTATTTATTTTTGTCTTTTTTTGAGACCGGCTGCACCGCGCTCAGCCAGTGAGCGCACCAGCCATCCCTATATAGGATCCAAACCTGCAGTGGGAGCGCGGCTGCGCTCCCAGCGCCGCACTCTCCCGAGTGCGCCACGGGCTCGGCCCTATATGTTCTTTTTTAATTGAAAGAGTTATACAGGTTGAGCATCACTAATCCAAAAATCCAAAATCCAGAATGCTCCAAAATCTGAATCTTTTTGAGCACCAATATGGTGAAATGCTCATTGGATCATTTTGGATTTTTAATTTTTGGAATCAGGATGCTCAGCTGGTAAGTATAATGCAAATATTCCAAAATCCAAAATTCCGAGATCTGGAACACTTCTGGTCCCTAGGCACTTCAGAGAAAGGACCCTCAACCTGTACAATCAGTAAAGGCACAAAGAAAAACAAGTATTATTCATAATTTACCCCTCAATGTTAACTGCTCTTAATATTTTAGAATTTGTAATTCTAGCATTTTTTAAATGTCTTTTTTTTTTTTTACTATTTTAAATATGCCTCTTTTGCTTCTGGGCAATATCTAGAACTGATTTTTATGTGGCCTGCGGATCCCAGGTATTATTTTCTGAGATTGCTTAGTTCTGGAACCATTTTCTCACCTTTGGACATAGTATTTTAAATTTTGTCATTTTCTTCCTTATGTCTTTCAGGTCCAGGTAAACTTGAGAGAACTAGAGGCAGCTGCCTGGTTCAGTCATGATGAGGTGGCCACAGCTCTGAGGAGAAGGGGCCCCTATATTCAGCAACAGAATGGGACTCTCCCATTTTATGTGCCTCCCAAGATAGCCATTGCCCACCATCTGATTAAGGAGTGGGTGGAAAAACACACCTGTTCTTCTCTGCCTGCTTAGCTGTGATCAAGCCACCTAGATCCTCCTTGGTATCCCTGAGAGAAATAGCAGAGATCTATGGTAAAGAGGGGGTGACAAAAGGCCAGCTCCAGACCAACCTAACAATCAGGCAGAGCAGGTGACCCTACAGTGAGGCACCTCTATCAGCAGTGTTAATGGAAAAAGTTCCTACTGATGGGCAATCAAAAATACCAATGAGAGAAAAAAAACTGATGAAATGTCAACTATCAAAATCAGAGGGAAGGGTGAAGCATTAGTAGGGATGTAGGCTTATGTTCACCTATTTTCTCCAAGGCCTTGGGAGCAAACATCTGGCAAGTAACTTGTTAATGCTGTGTTTAGACTGCCAGACTGTGCCTGGGGCAATTTTGGTTAAAACCTTTATTTTATTTTTATTTTTTTGGCAGCTGTTAAAACCTTTAATATTGAAAATATATTGGAAATCTCAAGTCACTACCGAGTTACTGCTATCCTTACAGAATTAAGAAAAATAGCACAACATAACATTTTTGAATTCATGTACAGATACATTCTTGTACACGGCAGTCAAAAGCCATGTTTCCTTAAGGCATCTGAAGGGATGAGGAAGGTAGAAGCTGACTTCTTCCTCAAGGTACTTTGCAGTAGATCAGATACAGTGAGGTTTTGCTGAGGCAGTTGAACCAGTGGGGTTCAAGGTGGTAAGAGTTTTGTGCTATTCTCAGCTCTGTTGCTTGCTCAGTTTGTGACCCAGGGAAAAGACCCTCGCCTTGCCATGCCTGTTACCCTAAGTATATTGCAGGCATTTCCACAGGCAGTTAAGTGATTAAGTTCAGCTAAGGGATTAGTGAGGATAAACGAATGCCAAACCTGAACCATTTCTTGAGCCTTATGGGATAAACTAAACTTAGGATTTCTCATCACTCACATGTGGCATTCTATACCTTGTCATCAGGGAGAAGAATTTATTTGGGGGAAGTAAAATAAATGTCCACACCTTTGTTGGATGTGTTTTCTGTCCCATGAATTGAGAAAATTTTAGAAAGTACGAACTTGGGGGTATGTGTGTGGGAGAGGATCTCTTTATCAGTGCAACAATCAAACATTTAAGTTCAGGTTCCAAGTCTGTGGAACAACTGAAGCAGTGTGCAGAAGAAATATTATTAGAGGTCTGGTTGAAAAGAGGAAATGATCATTTCTGGGGAAATGATCATTTTCAGATGATTCTAGGCACTAATTTGTGATTAAAGATACAAGCCCCCAGAAACACTAAGGGTATTCACATATCAAAGTCTCATACAACTAAGCAAAAGAATTCTAGAATTAGAAAGTTAAAGCACTGAATTTCCCTTTGACCCCAAAAGGGCATAGCTCTCTCCATGGCCAGCAAATCACCGTTGCTTTAGGGAAATCAAAGTGCCTTTAAATGTTGAGGGATAATATAGGATGGGACTTGATTGTCTTGTTAGATTGGCACCTTGCCTTTACCTGAGCTGAACCCAGCATGTAGAAAAGAATAGCACTCCCAAGAGAGTCCTGAGATTTCTGCATTTCTTGCAATTAGAAGAAAACAGTTCAGGGTCCATGTGTATTACTCTCTCCCAATGTTTTCTATCTCTACGTGGGTGTGTTTGTGAGCACATGTGTACATATTCCCCAGTCTAAAAATAGGGCTAGAAAGGGGAGAGTGCGGGATTCCTAGTTATGAGTTTCTCGAATTTACCATGAAGTAACTGTTTGCTTTTTGATTAATGTGTTTTTTTGGAAAAGAAAAGATGAGAGTGGCTGATAGGAGCTGCAACACTGAACTTTGTTTCTCAGCAGTGAATGGGAAGAGGGCTTTTCTGTAGAACTCCAGGGATATCTGAAAGCTGAGGCAGAAAAGGGCAAGGTTGGGGTACGGAAAATGGCAGATAAATAAAAGAAACTTGTACAGGGCTGCCTCACTGGAGAATATATATGTGGCAATGAATTACGAAGGTGCTAAGAATAGAGCCCAGCTGGGTCCATGATGCAGAATAGCAAAAACAAGTAAATAAAACCTTAAAACAAATGTATTTGTTACTACAGTGAGCCTGGCTCAAGGTCAATTAACTCCGAAAGAATAAAAAAGCAACTCAGTCATTCCTTGTTTTTGCCTACTTACCACTCTTTCTCTGCCCAACATTTAATCCTCAATGAAGACAAACTCTGTGCCACAAGTACATTGTGGGGAAACCTTTTTCTCACAGTCAAGCTGGTATAGCAATCTGGATCCTCATTTTTAACATGTGAAATAAAACTTCAAAATAAATAATAAAAATGTATTTATTTAAAATCTTTTTTTTTTTTTTTTTTAAAGATGACCGGTAAGGGGATCTCAACCCTTGGCTTGGTGTTGTCAGCACCACGCTCAGCCAGTGAGCAAACCGGCCATCCCTATATAGGATCCGAACCCATGGCCTTGGTGTTACCAGCACCACACTCTCCCGAGTGAGCCACAGGTTGGCCCTTTATTTAAAATCTTTTAAATTATTATCTTTATTTAAAGTATTAAAATGTTGCCCTAGGTAATAAAAAAAAATTTTTTTTCATCTGATCCTTTCTCAAATCAGTGTGCAATACCCTTCAGCTCATTTCAGTCAACGTCACCATAAAAAGAAAAGGGAGGATTGGAGGGGAGGTATGGTATATTCAGTTTTTATTAGTTTGTGACAGGAGGTCCCCAGGTAAGAACTCTACTACACCATTTTCTGGGTTGCTGGAGAGGGGGACAATTGTTTCCATTGTCTTTACTTTCACAGGGCAAGATATACACTAAAGGCATCTCTGCCACATACAGTAACAGTAAAGGAAAAACCAGAGACCCAGATTGTAAACATATGGTCAGTATATGGAGTTGTTTGTACATAAGACTTGATTCATTTTAGGAGGAATATCAGAATCATCTTAAGAAATAAACATATTTCATCTTAGATGTTATCAGTTACATTAAATAGCAAACCTCAGTTCATTTAAACAAATACAGAATTAATGTATGAAATATACAAAATAGACAAATCCATAGACAAAGTAGATTAGTGGTTCCTAAGGTGATATGGGTTGAATTGAGTCCTCCAAAGTTTCATGTATTAGAAACTTAATCCCCACTGTGATTATGACAGTGTTAAGACAGTGGGAAACCCTATTGTGGTAATTGAAAGGTGGGGCCTCTGGTGGTGATTAGATTGTGGGGACTGTACCCTAGTGAATGGATTGATCTACTTATGGAGTAATGGGCATGGTTCTGATGAGTTTAAAAGGAGAGCAAGTGAGGACTTTGCTTTCTCTTGTTCAGCCACTTTCACCTGTGTTGGTACAGAGTCACTACCAACGAGGCCCTCACCATGTGTTCCCTGGACTTTGGAATTCCCAGCCTCTGAAACTATAAGCAACAAATATTGTTTCTTTACAAATTACTCAGTTTCAGGTATTTCTGTTATAAGCAACAGAAATAGACTAATACATAGGGGCTGGGAGGAGGGAAAAGGAAGTGACCATTAATGAGCATAGGGATTCTTGGTGGGTGATGAAATATTCTGGAATTAGATACTGGTGACAGCTGCACAATTTTGTAAATATACTAAAAACCACTGAATTGTACACTTTAAAGGAGTAAACTTTTTTTTTTTTTTTTTTTGTCTTTTGTCTTTTTCCATGTCCGGCAACGGATCGCAACCCTCAGTGTCGCCCCCGCACCGGACCGGGGACCGGCAACGGGATCGCAACCCTCAGTGTTGCTCCCGCGCCTCGCTCAGCCAGTGAGTGGGAACCGGTCTGTATGTGGGATCCGAACCCTCGGGCGGGAGCGCCGCCGCGCTTCCCAAGTGGCGCGCTATCCAGTGCGCCACCGGGCCGGCCCTAAAGGAGTAAACTTTGATATGTGAATTATATCTCAGTTATTAAAAAAAAATAAGTTCTTTGTCTTGATTTAGATGCATACAAAAATGCATTGATTGTATAAAGATTTGTGCACTTTGCCATTGTTTCCTTAAAAAAATTAGAAAGAAAAAGTGAATGAGTCATCAAGCTCAAATTTGCCAACTTAGAATTTTGACCTTAGGCTGAATACATGTAAGGGGTAAATTAAATATTCAAAATTATACCGAGAGTATATTGTGGCAGGATATGTTCTTAACATGGAGTGTGTAAATCTCATCTCTGAGGCTGTCCAGAGGCTTGGGTTCTATCCTGCTGACTTCAAAACCTTGTATGAACCTCAGAGTTGAGATCACAGAGACTTGTGCAGAGAGGTCAACATTTGGGGCTCATGGGAAAGAAATCAACCTGTGAAACTAGTAATGAAGAAACATTTTTACTAAACAAGCAATTTAAACTAGAAATGAACAAAATCAGGCTCAATATTTATTTAAAAGGAAAAAAGAGAAGGAAGGTATACTGGTTAATCTTTCGTTGGCTTGCTTGTGAGTCTGTGATCAGTGTTGTCAGGCAGCTGCACTCCCATGCTTTGCAAAAGGTTAGAAGCAGGTCCTGCCAGTCCAGCTTGAGAGCTGTAAGATTCCAATATATTTGAAACCAGGTTCAGGTCCACATCCACTGGTGCCATAATAGATTCTCCTGCACCAGAATCTTCCTCATCTGAATTGTTATTGGTAGTCTGGGATAGAGGTTCCTTATTCATGGAGGGAAAAGAAAATCATGAGATAATATACCATTAGGTTGGATGGTAGTTACAATAAAAAGCTAACTAAGCAATATTGTAAATTTTAATTCCGAATTAAAAAGGAAATTTCTTATCCTTTGTGATACAAAGTTTAAGTCAAGTCTAATAATCTATTTGATTTAACACACATAACTAAAACTTGGTTCTAAAGATTATAACATACTACTTTCTAGAAAATATTTCTACAAATTGAATGGATTTCATCCCTATTTTGAAAAATCTCAAGGGATATAACCAGAATTAAGAAGGTACATTTATAGCTTGCCTAAGAGTTTTAAAAGAAATAAACATAAAAATAAACATTAAAAAAGAGACAAAAATCTAAATTTTCTTCTGAATGAAAAAGCTAGGTTTCCTTTTTTTCCCTCAATGAAAAAGCTTAAAGTAAAAACATGAGGCTTTGTGGGTCTAACCACAAAGATTCTTAATTGTTACTTTGGCCTCTGATTTCATGGGTTAGGGAAAAAATTTTAAAGATTACAGCTTGCTCTGTGGACCTTTATATCCTTGCTACTCAGAGCGTAGTCTGTGGACCAGCACCATCTGCATTACTTGGGACTTGTTAGAAATGGAAAACCTAAGGCCTCATTCCAGACCTGCTTAATCAGAATCTATATTGTAAAGAGATCCTTAGGTGGTTTATATTTACATTAAAATTTAAGAAGTACTGCTTTAGATAAATCTAATGTATGTTTCCATTAGGTGTTGGCAATACTGATAGTGATTACAGATAATCAAATCAAGGTAAATAAACATTAGCTAAGGACTTATGATGGGTTTATTGTTGTCTTATTTGGTTCTCATGTTAATTCTATGACATGAGGATTACTGGTTAATGGACACACTCACAGTGGGTAACTGAGCTGGATTTCAAACCCCAACCCCTAAGACTCCAGGGTCCATGTTCTTTCCATAATGCCTGCGTCTAGGGTTAGATGGTGCTGGCATGAAAACTATGATGGAAATGTGAACAGAAGAATTCCAAATTTGGCTCTAAATTAGGAAAACATCCAAAACAAACTATTAAGACTTTAAAGTTATTTGGATATTTAAGATCCTCCTTCTTATTAAAAAACTCACTTAAGCTATTAGTAGTAGTGTGCAACCTCATACTAATTTAAGGACATTACATGACTTTTTATTTTAAATCCTGATAGATAACATTAAATTAGTATATAATTAAGCTTATGTTTCAGAAAATAAAATTTATAATCCTTCATCCTACCTGAGTTAGGAAACAATTAGCATTATTATTTATTTCAAATCTCGTAAATCAAAAAAAGAAAAAAGAAATGGTAAGATAAA